GGTTTATGCTCAGAAGATAATAACTTACGAACCTGTAATCGGAATAATTTTTATCGCAACGACAAAATGAGCAACGTAGACGTTGCGAAATAGAAATTACACACGAGAAATTATGAAGGAAATACCAGAATTAGCACTTTAAGTACATGGACTCAGAAAAATTTTTTCTCATATCGATGTTTCGGGCCATGTTATTAGCTGTGATTTTCACTTGTAGGGAACCGAAACACCCGTTAGTGAAGATCATAGTCAATAGCATCGGGAACTTGGATCACTTGGAATTCTGTTCTACATTATGCACATGCTTGCTATCTTTCAGATCGGAAGACGTCAACTTTGTCTGCCATATCAGTTTCCTCCAGAATGTGGATCTCCGGCCGGTACGGGCTGAAATCACTTATGTCACAGCTGTTACAGTTGTCAATATCACATACTATACCATGACAACTATTAATAATATTTGTATCTACATACTACAATGGTTCCTTTGACATCCCATTTCGTTGGCACTCTACTGTTGGGATTCTGGCTACCCGTTTCCGCTGCCTTATCCTTGAAATTCAGCGTCTGTCTTACATCTTGTGTATATAAAAATTTCGGATCTTTCTTGGTTTCTGTTGCGTGTGTCGTAGATCCCTTGCTAGCATTGATGGCCTGCAATGTTTTCTTTGGGATTTACACAAATACAACAGTTCCAGGATTTCACCTTTCCACCACCCATTGCCACACTCAAAGGCATAGGTGGCATATCAGTTCCAACATCCACCATTTCAACAAGGACAGGAATTCCTTTTCCAGTTTGCCGACGGACTCTGAATAATTATCACTAGAAATAATTCTACAATTTTTTCTTCCTTTTCGGTAAATAATGAACAGGTAAGCAAAGTCCGAAGTCCACGTCTTTTTTACTCAATGAATCATTGCACTAAAATGATTCTGTTGTTCAACATGGTTGGATACAGATTGCAGGAGGACCATTGTGAGCCGTCGAATACGGTACTTGATACTCCCCTGTTTATCTCTAGTAGCATGCAAGATCACTGTGGTCTAACGCTCTTGCACGCGGTGGTAAACGATGCGACTTTTTCAAAAATAGTTCGCGCTTTTCCAGTACTTTCCTATGCAATAAACTCGTTTAGAAAAGCAATAAAAATATGCTTGAAAGCACTATTCACTCCAAGGTTGGTGAGATTTTGACGTTACATAATAACAATCCTCTAACTAAGGATCTCCCATGTTCCGCTGCAAATGATGGGCTCTGAAGCAAGAAAATCAATCCGCGGACACGTAAGTCCTGTCCATCACATGGGTGGTCCGAAAGCTAGGTGCGCAAGTTGGGCTTCAAGTAGCTAAAAATGTTAAAAATCTGATCCTGTTATAGAGATTTCTCGACATATCTAGCTACCCAAAGTCCAACTTTTAGCACAAAATCATTACGGGCCAGTCACGTTGATCGGCGGGAGGTACTTTC